CTCTCTCTCTCTCTCTCTCTCTCTCTCTCTCTCTCTCTCTCTCTCTCTCTCTCTCTCTCTCTCTCTCTCTCTCTCTCTCTCTCTCTCTCTCTCTCTCTCTCTCTCTCTCTCTCTCTCTCTCTCTCTCTCTCTCTCTCTCTCTCTCTCTCTCTCTCTCTGTGTCTCTGAATTGATGAGGAGCATGCGTTTCACGAGCCCCGCATGCCCAGCAGGCTGGGCTCCTTCAGGCGAGTAAGTGAATTCTTTTCATCCTCGCTCTTTTAAGGGCCGACTTAAAAGAGTTGGGCATGCTCGGCACCGGCGGGTTCGGCACCGTAGCAGGACGTTGGGCCGTTGGGCCGTTGGGCCTCGCAGGCATATTTTCCAGTGCCAGGAGCACATCTTGACGGGTGCGAAGTACGCATTAAAGGCGGTGAGCAAGGGCCAGGTGGAGGCACAGCGCATGGAGCTGCAGGAAGGATCGGAACTTTGCCCCGAAGAGGCCCCTGCGCTTTCCGCGACCAAGTTTTGGTCAAGGCGTGTCGCATTGTTTCAATTTTGAAGGCAAAATGGTCTTCGGAGACGCCCCCCAAAGATGAAAACTCCGACCCCCCACTTGAGAGGGAAAGTTTGCGTTCAAAAGATTGAAGGTCCACAGAAATGCCTCGTGCGGCTGGGCAGAAAGTAGCCGATTCCAGTAGTGATTATGCAAAGATTTTGAAGGCAAAAATAGCCCCCCAAAATTTCAACGCTACGCGACCCGTTTCAGCGGAACTGTGTTCGGGAGAGGGGTCGTTGGGGAGGGATCCTTCAGGGTGCTTGAAAGCGGGGTCGCCCTTTTCTAAATTTTCGGAGACCCCCCTCGCCAAACGGCCTCGTGCAGACAATCTGGCATCAGAAGCCTCCTTGAAGCCCAGAACCCGAAAAATGAGGGGGTTTCTGGTCTGAAAAATTGTGCAGACTTACTGGAATCGGCACTTCTCCTACCCCCCCACGGACAGGAAAACTCAAGACGCCTAAGCCTAAAGGCCCCCAAGAACACTTCAGGAGGCAGGGTTCCCGGCGTTGCCTGTCAATGCAGTAGAGCCGGATCGACCAGCAAACTGAGAGAATAACAACAAGAAACCCCCCAGTTATGGAGGTTGGGTGGAACCCGGTTCGGGTGGAGGGTGGGGTTACTAAGCAGGCGCGGGCTCCCCCCTCGCTAAACCCCAAACCCTTAAATTCCAAACCTAAACCCTAAGCGCAGCCCTAAACCTTAAACTTAAACCCTAAACTCTAAACTTTAAGCCTTAAACCCTAAGTGCCAAGCCCTAAACCCTAAACCCTGAACCCTAAACCCTAAACCCTAAACCCTAACCCTAAACCCTCAACCCTAAACCCTAAACCCAAAAACTCCTAAACCCTAAAATGCCCTTTGTTACAGGTGGGCCTGCTCTTCGCCCTGCGCCTGGTGGAGTTAGGCCGCTGCCCTGGGTCATGTGGTGTGAAGCCCCAAAGGGTTTAGGGGTTTAGGCTTTAGGGGTTTTGGGGTTTGGGGGTTTAGGGGTTCAGGGGTTGCGGAGTTTACGGTTGAGGGTTGAGGGTTGAGCGGTTTCACAGGCATTTCCAAGGGTTTCATCGGGCGTGCGGGGTCTTGTCTTGGGGCTTTGCAGAGGGCTTAAGGCCTTGTAGGCTTCAGGGCTTTTTAGGTGATAGCATATCCTCAGCCCAAAAGCCAAGGGTGAGTCCTGAGCACATCTTAAACCCTACACCTTAATGCAGCCCTAAACCCTAAACCCTGAACACCCTTCAGCCGCGAGCCCTAAACGCCAAACCCTAAACCCTTAAGCCCTGAACCCTACCCCCTCCAGCCCCTGTAGCTTGAGAAGCTCTTCCAAAGTTATCCCCGAAACTCTGCGAAACTTTCCCAAAACCTGAACCCCGAATATTTTCAACAAGCCCTGAAACCCTTAAACCCTTAAACCCTTAAACCTTAAACCCTTAAACCCTTAAACCCTTAAACCCTTAAACCCTTAAACCCTTAAACCCTTAAACCCTTAAACCCTTAAGCCCTTAAACCCTTAAACCCTTAGACCCTTAAACCCTTAAACCCTTCAACCCTCAAATCCTGAATGCCTGATTTCAAGGCAGCCGCAACATCAGCATCTCGGTCTACGACGCCCGGCTGGCGAGGGATGAGGCACCAAAACCCAAAACCCAAAACCCAAAACCCAAAACCCAAAACCCAAAACCCTAAACCCTAAACCCTAAACCCTAAACCCTAAACCCTAAACCCTAAACCCTAAACCCTAAACCCTAAACCCCCCGCAACCCTTAAACCCCTCAAACCCAAAGCCTTAAAGCACTGAACCTAACCTTGAGTTTGTTCACCCTAAACCCCTAGACCCCTAGACCCTGAAGCCCCTTAACCCCTAAACCCCCCCTAAACCCTTACACCCCTAAACGCCTCTAAACCCCTAAACCCCTAAACCCCCGAAACCCAGGAACTTATGTAGGAGAAATATACACATCATTGGTTGATGCAAGTAGAGTGAGTGTTTTGGGGTCGGAGCCCGCGGAATACTGCAAAATATTTCTGGGGTTGATATTTGGGTGTAGGGTTTAGGGTTTAGGGTTTAGGGTTTAGGGTTTAGGGAAAGCTCAAGCTGAATCCCCATAGCATATCGCCCGGCTTACTTTGCATAGGGCGGCCCCCAAATCCTCCCCGCGGGACGGTGGCTGGTTGGGGGGTTTTCCCAAGCCCCAAACCCCAAACCTCAACCCCCAAACCCCCCAAAAACCCAAAAAACCCAAAACCTAAAACCCAAAACCGAAAACCCAGAACCCAAAACCCTAAACCCGAAACCCCAGGCCCGAAACTCCAAAACCCCAATGTGAAACCCTAAACCCCAAACCCTTAGCGCGCTTCCAGGCTGGGAAGCTTTGCATTCGGCATGGGATGGAGGCGCCCCCCAAGAGCGGTTTAGGGTGGTTTAGGGTTCAGGGTTTAGGGCGGTGTAGGCTGTAGGGTTTAGGGTTTAGGGTTTGGGGCTTAGGGTTTAGGGTTTAGGGTCTAGGGTCTGTTGATAACGAGGGGAGGTTTTGGGCTTAGGGGTTTAGGTTTGAACTTTGAGGCTTCGGCGTCGGAAGGTGTAGGGTTGAGGGGCTTGAGGGCTTAAGGTTTCGGGTTTGGGCGGGCTCAGGGCTCCCTTCATATTCCCCTTACGTAAGGGTTTAGGGGGTGCAGGGAGGGGGTTAGGGGGTTTAGGGGGTTCAGGGGTTTAGGGGGTTTAAATGTTGTTCTTCACTTTGGACCCTCCCACGCCCCTGTGTGGGGAGTTCTCAAATGTATGGTAACTTGAAGGCACCCTAAGTCTAAGACTCCGTGTCCCTAAACCCAAACGCCCTAAACCCTAAACCCTAAACCCTAAACCCTAAACCCTAAACCCTAAACCCTAAACCCTAAACCCTAAACCCTAAACCCTAAACCCTAAACCCTAAACCCTGAAACCTAAACCCTAAACCCTAAACCCTAAACCCTGAAGCCTGAACCCTGAACCCTATAAACCCTGAACCCTATAAAGCCTAAACCCAAACCCTAAACCCTACACACGTGATAGGGACCCTGTTGCCTGTATGCTAAGAGCCCTGCATGCCTGAACCAAAAGCCAGGGTTCAAGGGTTTGGGTTTGGGGTTTAGGGTTTAGGGTTTAGGGTTTAGGGTTTGAGGTTTAGGGTTTAGGGTTGAGGGTTTAGGGTTTAGGGCCTGCGACGGCTTCAACCCTCAACCCCTCAGCACCACCGACACCCCGACACCCCGACACCCCGACACCCCGACACCCCGACGCCCCGACGCCCCGACACCCCAAACCCTAAACCCTAAACCCTAAACCCTAAACCCTAAACCCTAAACCCTAAACCCTAAACCCTAAACCCTAAACCCTAAACCCTAAACCCTAAACCCTAAACCCTAAACCCTAAACCCTAAACCCTAAACCCTAAACCCTAAACCCCATACATGCTGCCCTAAACCGAGGACCCCCGCGTCTTCGCGGTGCCCAGGGCGCTGCTGGCCGCCTTCGGTTCCTCCGAGGCCCTGAGGGTTTAGGGTTTAGGGTTTAGGGTTTGGTGTTTCGGGGCTTTGCGGCTTTCGGGGTTTGGGGGTTTTGCGGGTTTACTGTTGTCTTTTTTGGATTTTCGGGTTCATTGGGGTTTGTTGGGGTTTATTAGGGTTGATTGGGGTTTCTTCGGATTTATTTCGGATTTATTGGGGTTTGTTGGGGTTTATTCGGGTTTATTAAGGTTTATTCGGGTTTTGTTCGGGTTTATTGGGGTTGATAGGGTGGGGTTTATTGGGGTTATTGGGGTTTATTGGGGGTTATTGGGGTTTTGGGATTTTTCGTGTTGAGCTTTATGCCCTGAATTTTGGGGTTTTGGGTTGGGGTCTAGGATTGATGGGGATTTCAGGTTGGCGTCCTTGCTTCCTGTTGGGGTTTACAGTTCAGGGTTTAGGGTTTAGGGGATCAGTTTCGAGCTTGCTGGCAGAAGTGAAGTCCGGGCCTATATGCACTGTGCAAACCTGATGCTCCCAACACCTCGTTCCGAGGTGCTCTTCAAACCCCGAAGTTGAAGACCCAAACAACTACTTAAATTATTCCCTTATGGTCCCTTTATAAACATACCATAATACGCCTCCAAAAAAACCCTTTCGAATTAATCAGGCTCCTAAATTACAAAAACAATATACACTCATCTAGGCATAGAAAGGGGTGCTCTTTCGGGGTACAACCTTCGGGATAAACTCAACCCCCAAACTTGGATAGATCACATCTGGAGCGTGCTCTTGTACAAGAAACAAAACTAGACAACACTCTTCAGCAAAGTCACGGCGATTGTCTACACCCCAAAGCCTAAGCCCTAAACCCCACACCCTACACCCTATACCCCAAACCCTATACTCTCCGCTGCCACTTTGAGCAAGTGTGGGGCTGTGGGACGGCACGGACGCTGGGCGCATCCCTCCTGCCGAGTTTTGCGGCATGCTTCAGAGCAGTCAGTACAAGGCCGGGGTAGGTTTTGCCCTTGAGCTTAGGGTTTAGAGTTTAGGGTTTAGGGGCCCCCGCATAACTACGTAGGCCCTAAACCTTAAACCCTAAACCCGTAAAACCCTAAATCCTCAATCCGAAAAAACGCACCCTCCTACTTGCCGAAAGGCTACAGGCTTGAAGGCCCCGAGACCAAACGCCCCCTCCCTCGAGCTCGGGGTTCAAAAGGTTTCGGCTTAGGGTTTAGGGTTTAGGGTTTAGGGTTTAGAGTTTAGGGTTTAGGGTTGAGGGTTCAAAAGTTTAGGGTTCAGGGTTTCGGGTTTCGGGTGGTAGGGACTCCATGGGCTTAGCCATGTTTTGTATTGGTTTTCTTTTGGCGGCGGTGTCTCCTAAAGCCCTGGCAGGAAGCTGGAAGGAATTTGGGGCTTACAGCTTGGAGACAACGCGACCGCTCAAGCCGAAACACCAAACCTCAAGCCCGTATGTCTAAACCCTCAACCCCACACTCCTAAACGCCTAAACTCTAAACCCGAAACCTTAAGCCCTTGCGAAACGACCTTCTGCTTCGGTCTCTATGTCCGGGGCACGCACCCGGACCACGGGCTCTGGAGGGCTTCTGTTCACTCTTACCACCACCCTAAACCCTAAACACTGAACACTAAACCCTAAACCCTAAATGCTGAAAAGCCCAAACCCTAACCCCAAACGCTAAACCCTGAACCCCAAACCCGACGAATCCTCGTGGCCCGACCCCAAAGCAGCCTTGGCCCAGACCAAAATCCCGACGCCACCAACAGGCGCAGAGCCTTTGCCCGTTTCTGTGTGTGGCAGGGTTGCGGGTTAGGGTTTAAGGTTTCGGGTTTAGGGTTTTTCGGGGGGGTTAGGGTGCCTGGGGTTTGGGGTTTGTTTGGGGTTTGGGTTTATGGGGGTTTGGGGCTTAGAGCCTATGGTGTTTAGAGTGTGTGGCCTTTTGGGTTTTCGTTTTCTTTGGGGGTTGATGGCTTGTTGAGTGTTTGCGCATGGTGTCTCATAGATGTTTATGTATGAAGCTTCTCGATTGTGAACGCTTCATTAGGTTTGGGGTTTGGGGTTTGGGTGTGTTTCGGATGACTTAGCGAGTAAGTACTTGTATTAATTAGTTGTAATAGTCATTCGTTGTCCTTTGTGCCTAACCCCCTACCCCGTTTACCCTCCGAAACCCATAGCCCTCGGCCCTTAGCCCTGAAAGAGCAGGCGACATCCACCTGCAGCGTGGTTCAGCGTTTAGAGCTTCGAGTTTGGCCCGCTATCCCAAGCCTTGAGCTATGATTCCTACACCCCCAAAAAATGCCAAGAGCTTCCGCAGTCCTCCAAAACCCGGGCTAAACCCAAGGACCCGAAACCTGGAACCTTAAACCTTCCTCCGATACAATATAAAAACCGAGAAAAGCCAATAGAAAACCAATAGAAACCAATAAAAGCCAATAGAAAAACAATAAAAGCCAATAGAAAACCAGTAAAACCAATAGGGCTTAGGGTTTACCTCCCTGCGCAGCCACGGAGGCTCCGTCTGGGCATTTCAGGGCGTGCAGACGCTGATTGGCCTCGCGGGCGCCCTGCTGCTGGAGCATCATCGGGTTCAGAGAGGGTTTAGGGTTTCGGGTTTAGGGTTTAGGGGTTTAGGGGCCCAGTCGTAGGGGGGAGGAGGGACGGGGGGTTTGGGGGTTTGGGGGGGTTTGGGGGTTTTTAGGGTCTAGGGGTGGAGCGTAGGACGTTTGGTGCTTCGGGCCTTCGAGGGTTTCTGTGTGTATATGTACACTCGCATGTATCTTTTCGTATATGTATAGACGTATGTCTGCGTGTAGATCTG